CACGTAAAAAATAAATAAAGTCCTTATATTTTTAATTATTGTGTCTCTTTTTTCTTGCGATTCTTTTTCACCTTCATTTCCGGTGCGTTCGGATTTGTACCTGTGTAAAACTGTTTTAATAAAGCCATTGCTTCATCGCCTTTCACGCCTCCCGTAATTGTCGTTTTTGATTCATAGAGTTTTGGTACTTGGAAAACACTGACACATCCACCAAAACGGTCGTTTGCACATCCGTATATGATACTGCGGACTTGTAGTTGATATAAAGCAGATGTACACATTATGCACGGTTCGACAGTAACAATTACATCGATACCTCGAAAAACTTCTTTATAATCTAAATTTATTTGCCTGCAATATTCTAAAACTTGGTCTATGCAATTTATTTCTGCGTGACGAGTCGCATTATGCGTTTCGTTAACACTATTATTGCCCGTAGCAATGACTTTATCATTATACACAAACAAACAGCCAACTGGAACTTCGCCAGCTTTTAATGAATCATTTGCCTTCTGCAAAGCAACGTCCATCCAGTTTAAAGTATTCATGTTTTTCTAATATTATAATAAAAACACAAAAAAATAAGCACTCAGAAAAAACAAAACAGTAATAGTAAAAAGAAATTTGTACTGGCGATTATGAATGTATTCTTCTTTAAAGATAAGGTATATTATTCTTTGAAGTATTCAAGTAATCCAAGTTCACTCAGCTTTTTTGTTGCTTTATCACTCCAGTTTTTATTATTTGCAGCACGTGGACTTGGATGTGGCAAGCATAAAACCTAGGAATATAATGGAATTAAATCCTGTTTTGTGTTTTATAATTTTACTATTTTTCATGATTACCTTAGCAGATAGTTTATGAGAATTAACTACAAATTGTGCTCGTTTCTCTGCATATCCACCAATGCCAATTACGATTTCTGCTTTCAGGATCTTAATTGTATCTGCTAAGGCCTTGTCACAAGCAGAATGTAATATCTGTATCTCCGATCCCTAAAAATTGATGTACGATATTTAGTGGCTAAGTATAAATTATAGGAATAATTAGATCGTGCCTTTATTTCTGCTGGTGTAATATTACGTCCTTTCTTATCCATCAATGCAATAGGACAATAATTATGTATGTATGAATGTTCAAAGAACTTTTCTGGTGTTCCGCATAATTCTTGAAAAAGACCCCACAATCTTTTACCACTGATTTCGCTTCGAGTACATTCAAACCCAGTTACTTTCCTGGCTGGCTGTTCTTTGGAAGGCTTTCCAACAGGCCCACTGATTTGTAACCAGTCACGGACCATTTTTATCTCTCCAAACGGTACACCGGTTTGAGACATGCCCCAAGGGCCAGGGTTCATTCCAAGGAACAATATCTTTTTCTGGGTATTGCAATACTTTCGCACATACATACTATGAATGTTAAATGCATATTCCAGCGGACTATAAATGTACTCTATTGGTAAACGGAACGTAATTTTCCCTAGTTCATCGGCCAATTTACGTTCCAATGATAACAACTGCTCAGAGATACTTTCAAGTTCTGTATCACTTCCACTAACGTTACCATTTTCCTTGTCTATATTTTCTTCGCTCGAGTATCTCATTCTTTTAGGTTTAACTTCTATTGAATCGCTACCATCGTCAGGGTCACGTCTTTTTCTTGAATTCTTAGACATTATATCTTGTTCAAGGAATCTTCCTTAATATGCCTAACGATTACTCGTTCAATCTTAACAACACTATTATGATAAGATATGATAAAATGATATATTATCCAAAGTTCGAACGCTTCGTGTGATGTTCCCGAAAGAAATGACCCTTAACTTTGACTCTGTCATCAGGCGCAAACAATACCAGGAATAAACAACTACTTGCCTTTTACATGATTAAATTGTAGTTAATCTGTCCCTGTTCTCTGTCGATGTGTATATTACATACGTATGTGTACACCGGGTTGTATGTAAAATAGTAAATAATTGATCACGATTTTTACTTTCAAATGCACGTGGTTAGAGCCAATCAATTTTTTTGTGTTGCTCAAAACACCCTCTAGTGAGGTGTACTGGTGTAGTCACTGCTAATGGCGGATATTTCAAAACCTGACCGAGGAGATACTAATTTATGATTAATGTCAATTGGGGTACACTTTTGTAATACTGTAATTTTTAATACAAACAGAATATACAATTACATTTGCTCATAATAACTGTAAATAGTTTATTACAAAAATAATAATCGTATTATGTTACATTAAGAGTTATTAATTTGTAATACTATCGATTCTCGACTCGACCAGACGCATGTTCGATTAACGCTTTCTGAAACAGATACAATCACAGTTGAAGCGATTTGTCACGTGAAATCTAATTTCCTTCTAGATTATCCCATTTTACCTTTATCACAGGTATGGCATTCGTCAATTGTAATCCTATACTTCTTGCTAACACAACGGGAGCTGCTGTTCCTTTATACAATCTATGAAGCGCATCGATAGCGAGCATTACTGGAACGTTGTATCGTTGCCTTACTGTTTCGTATTTCCTTAAAAACAGCATATTTCCAAGTGGGGATCCGGATATAACAGCATCTCCAAGAAGTTCTACTAATGCTGTTACGTCTCCAAATCCGAGGTTCACACCTTGACCAGCCAATGGATGAACTCTGTGCGCCGCATCTCTAAAAATTTCGTTTAATCAAACTACCTTTATTACTAAGTATAATATAAATACAGTCAATAACAAGTATCAAACCACGCTGTGTACAAATTCATTATGCAATAGAGCTCATTGAATAAATGTTTCCTTATTATTTTGGTAATTAATACCGAAGAGGATTAAAGAAGACTTTAATGAGCACAGTTAAAACACTTTGCCTTAAGCAATTATTTTATATAAGTTCAGGAA